CAAACACCAGAGGTAAGAGGAATCCAGGGATAAACATGAGCTAGGAATCAGGAGGTGAATTTCCCAAATGGACTGAGATAGTTGGGCAGCCAACTTTTTGGGGGAGCCTTACAGAGCTAGAAATACTTCTTGGATGTGAGTGAAGGTTGGTAACTCATTTCATTTCATGTTTATCTTTTTGTGTACAATATATTGTGGTGGAGGCTGAATGAATAAAACATAAACAAGGTATATTGCGCACAGAAACAGTCTGAATTAAAGTAGGTTCTGGTATAACAATCCATTTTCAAACCAGTTCTTCAAATCACAGTTTTCCCTCAGATTAGTCAATTTGCTTTTCATAGAGAAATTAAAAAGCAATCGCAAAACGTGACATTCACAGATTAATTTAATCTTTGATGCACTCATGAACAGTATATGGTTTTCATTATTCAAAAGAATGTGAATCCTGGAAAATACAGTAATCTCAAATATGTGCATGCGCACGTGTACGCGCACACACACTCTCTCTCTCTCTCTCTCTCTCTCTCTCTTCCCCCCCCCCATGAATACAGCTAAGATTAGCATTTGGAATGTTGACCTACATTAGAAATACTGGAAATTCCTTACTAACCTATAGCCAATAATTGGTTCTTTTCTGAAGATATATTGTGACCTTGACTGTGTGTCTCAAAGAGAGTAACTTAGAGACTAATATATAGTATTAGTTGTAGGAATCGTTATTTTTGTTGATTCCATGATTATTACTATCCAGTTTGAACTTTGGAAAAATCAACACAAAACTGTTTCTTCCTCTGGGCTTCCTTGTGCCTCCTGTCTTTCAAACTGAAAGCTTTTTTGGGAAGGAATGCCTTTATTTTATCTCATTTAGAAAACAGCCCTAACTAAGGAATCATTACCAGGTGTCCATATAATAGAGTAGTGACAAGTAACAGCATTGTCAGAAGTAACAGGAATGGCTCCACATCATCTGTTGGAAGGATGGTGTGGATCTCAGCAGCAGAAAATTTGTAGTTGGAGGAATTAGATGATTGTATAGTTAAGAGTTTTTTCTGTGTTCCCCCCTCTCCTTCATATTGTCATGTTGGTGTCTAGTGTTTGTCAAAAAGTCTGAGAGGAAGTGAGATGTTTGGAATTCTTGGGTACTAAGGAAATGGTTTGCTGATAACCATAGCTATATAAAAACTCAAATACATTAGATGTTGAAAAAGTATTTACCCTTTTATTTTTGGTGATTTGAACATTTTGATATAAATTGGTACAATAAACACTATCTTGTGTAGATTATAGTTGAGGGAAGCAAAGCAAATTTTGTACTAGCTGTACTAACAAATCATCAAATGCTAGGGTTCAACAATCCAAATTAGATAGGGTATCTATCTGAGGGTTTCTAATTATGCCCATTGCTGCGGAATCGAAGTGTGGTCTTTCACCTCCAAATATTTCAGAAATACCGGGAAATTATACTACTTGTACTGTTAATAAACGTCCCAGTAAACCTTTTTTTAACACCAGATATCTGAACTTTTCTTTAGTGCATGTAGGTAACGGTATTTTAATAGAAAAGATTTACAAACTTGGCATTATTTTAGGGAAAGGAACAAGAAGGAAATGTTCTTGGAACATTTTGTAGTGTCAAGATGCTGAGTGGTGATGTGATAAAGAAATGTTCTTGGCATCTAAAGATTTTAGAGGGACAAGACTTATGGGGAAAGTGCAATGTATAGTCCATAGTCTCCTAGTTACAGTCCTATACTTTCGCTGCCTTGTATATTTGTGCCAAGTATAGTGAAATTTTGACAATCAAAGCTTTCCAGAAAAGACGCATCTTTATATCACATGCAGGCTACATATTGGTTTTGAAATGTGTTTTAGCACAAAGAATGAGTGGAGAAATTCAGCCTTTAGAAATAGAGTATTCAGACTTCACTTCAAATGACCTATGAGGATGATCCATTGCTTTGATTAGGTGTCATCCCTTTGCATTTGGGCATAAGAAATATAAAACACACATGGAAACTTATTTAAATTTCCAGATCATACAATATTATAATGTTTTGTGGTTTGCTGATTTCATTGATACAGATATAATTAAACTACTTGTCATTCTAGGCCAAAAAAGTCAGTATTAAATGAAAGTAATCAAATATTAAATAACTGAATTCTAAATAATAAGTATTAGGACATGTTCAAAGTTTTCAAAGAAAGTGTATTCATGCTGGGCAAAAGCTCATAAATGTCTGATTCACAAATGTTCATCAGTTTCTTTATATTTATATACTAGTTTATTCCGATTACTACATTGCTCCAATTTCTTGCCAGTAGACTAATAAACTAGAGTAACACAGTAGTGAATAGGCCCAAGCAGTATAATAGTCAGCAATGGAAACTGAGCTATTTAGAAATCTGGAAAGCAAGAATATGAAATTAAAAGATATAATACAGTGATATTTCTCTAATATACCTATCAGGTATGTTTGGCTCTCACTGAATTGGACTAATAATTATGTTATCAGAAAAAATAAGCTAGTTTTGTTGCTCTACTGGTTCATTTTTCTCTCCACGAAGCAATCTTCTCTTTATCACAAAATACCAAAATACTTTGCTTGATGTTTTTTCTGCATTACATTGTTAACTTTCTTGGTATGTCTACCCTGCACACTTCTTCCAGTGGTGTGCAGAGTACATACTTGGCTAGCCCCACAGGTTGGGTATAAATAGCAGTGTAGACGCTGAGACATTGCTTAGGTGAGTAAAGACTTGCCTGATAACTGTGGGTATGCACCTAGGTATAAACCTTACCTGGCTCTCCCATCACAGTGTAGTGTCCTGCTGCCTCCCCCCGCCTTTCGCTGACACATGTAGCTTCCACGCAGCTTGCTTTTCACTGTGGCTTGTAGCTAGACATACCATATCCACCACAGATACTTGTGTGCAGTGTAGACGTAACCTGTGTAATGCTGCTAACTTTAAGAAAGAAAATTATATCAACAACACTGTAATGTAAACATTTTTAGCCTAAGTATTTTCTAACAGGCCACTATTTCAACAGATGTATATATCTTGCTGTTTTGATATATTATACTGAAATCTGACTTTCTTTGTCATTTAGTATAGAGAAGCTTTTCTGTTACAGTAATCAGTGTGTGCTTTCTGGACTCATCCTTGATACTAGACACACTCTAATGGGAGCATCAGCAAAAACTCTCCTTCACCTTCAGCTAACCAGCATCCTATCTCCCCTGCTATCAGACATGAACATGGCCACAGTGATCCATACATCTGTGAGCATCATAGTCTTTTGTTGCGAGCATGCAGTATTTAGGAGTGAATCCACAAATAATAAGAGATCTCCCGCTGGTGAAAAGGCTGTCTTCTAACAAATGCATGTCAACAGGAGCTCATTGCTCCATACATGGTTCAATGCACTGGCTTCCCACTGAACATCAAATCAAGTTTTAAGTCCTCAGGCACTATTGAGTTCTTGTCAGGGCACAAGGAAAAAAAGACCTATGATTTTGTCCTTCAGAGTAAGGGAGAGAAAAATAAAAATAGGAAGTTAGTAAGCTCTCTCCTGAGTAGAGGAATTGCATAGTTCTTCAACTTTCTCTAAAAGAGAACACTGATTTACATAATTTTGTAAAGATATCATCACAAAGAGTGTGATGTGGATAGAACCTTGGAACGCAGTCTAGGAAGGCCTTATAGTAGTTTCCCATAATGCCTGTGCCAGTGGTACCCTCCCTCGGCGGGAGATTTTAGAGTCTCTTTGCACCACTCTGTTACATAATGACTACAAGAACAGTGGCTAATATGCTGCATACTACTATGTTAATTTTTGGCATGTAACCCATGTTACCATAGTTTTATAATTTGAAGTGTCTCCTTCCAGTAAAAATGTTCTATTTTTAGTGGTATATTAAGCATCATTGCCAACACTGGAACATTTTCTAGCAATAATTCTCAAAATAAAGCTGAGATTCTGGAGTTAGCTTAGAGGGCTGTAGGTATTCTGGTGACTTGTAGAATATTTTAATATAAATATCCTGATGCAGGGCTCTGGGTCCGGGATTTGGTTAAACATCCAGAAGTAAGGGGGGGTGGTGATCATTTGAATCCATGAAAATACTTCTACAAGGCCCCAGAGCCCTTCATCCTCCCCGAACACCTGCTTACTTTAGTTCTTACAAGCTTTCCCTACCTGCAATAGTTACCTTGTTGGGGAAGAAACTTAGTGGCTTGCTACCAACTGTGGTGTGGCTAGTGGGAGCACGGCAGGCCTGGTGTCTTCAAGGGACATCATTTTATGGTCTATCATCAGACATTTAACACTGCTGTCTCCATTTTCTCTCCCCCATTTCTCTACTCCCCTCCCCTCCAAATTAAGAGTTTCAGTTCTCTTCCTCATCCCTAGACTCTCTGCCCCCTGTATATAATGGTATCCTTCCCCCAGGTCCTGGGGGGCAGGAATAGGCTATCTGTTGATGTAGCACATGTTCTGGGGTTGAGCTCAGATTGCTCTGCTGCCATGTCTTGGGGTGTGGACTGATGTGAGAGATAGAGAAGGGCAGAATGAGTGTTGAGTTTTGTTTTATGTGTTCTATGCATTGGTCGATATTTCTGTAGCATTTTTAAAAAATGTATATCCTATACCTGGAGACTGTGACTTGGAGTGATTTTCAGAAATTAAAAAATAAGTTTGCCTGATATTTTTTGGTCACATGTATATAATGTAAACTGCTAGCATACTATGCAAAAAACCTGAAACTCCTAGACATCTAGTTTTCAGAAAATTCTGTGGCACTTAGTTTATATCAGTTGCCATATCTAGCCTCTTTTTAAACTTCCTTGTCCCTGAAATCTCACTAGATTGATGTGTCTAAAACTCAAGGTTAAATAATATGTAGATTTGCAAAAGCTAATTTTGAATTAACCAAGCATTCTAGTGTCTGCATACCACTTCTGCTAGGAAAACTGAACTTTTGTATTTTATCTTCAAGGGAAATACATGCAGATGATGAACATTCTGAAACCAATTGCATTTGATGTGATTCACTTCATGTCCCAGCTGTTTGATTACTATCTGTATGCAGTGTATACGTTTTTTGGCCGAAATGACACGGTAGGTAGAAATTATTATTCCTTTCAGAGCACGTTCGTGTGTGTGGTAAGACTTCTACATCAAGAAGACAACTGAGTGTATGATCTCACAGAGGGGCAGCAGCAATAGACTGGGGTTGGATGCATGAATGAGAACAGGCCAGTAAGAACAACTAGAAAGAGAAATGGCCTTAAAAGTATTATCATCACAAGGAGTGTTGATCATTTTATATTTCTCTGTCTGGAGGAGGAGAGGGAGGATGCTGGGTGCACAAGAAAGGTGAGACTGTTACAGATAGAGAAGATTGCACAGAAAAAGGCACGCGGTCATGAATGGCAAAAGGAAACAACGTAAACATTAAAGATTAAAGGGGAGTGGGAACAACATGGTATGCATGGGCAGATCTTGTGCTCCTCTATCTAACGTAGTCTAATAATGAAATCCATTTCTGTTCACATTTGATATATAATTGAAGTGCCTTTTAGTTTAAGAAGCTAATACACATCCACAGTGTCTGTAAATAACTACTTCAACTCTTGAGATTGTCATAGAACAGTATATATGAAACCTGTATTTTTAAAAAAATGAAAACAATAATTCCATGAACAATAACGGCTCAAAATCGTTATATGCTGGCAAATAGTTGGAGTCACAAATTCTCAACAGCTTGTTCTAAATAGTTTTGAGCTGTTCTCTTTGTTAGGAGAAGTATATTTGGGATTTGTTTGTGTATGGAGGATGGATGGTAAATATTTTTTAAAATTAATTGATTTTCTTTGGCTTAATCAACTGTTTTGATATTCTTTTATTGTGTTACATGTACTTTTTGCACCTCCTGTTTTGTGTTTTAAAACCTGTACAGAGTTCTTCACTTCCCACATCTAGCAGGGAACAGTACAGTGCTAGGCAGGTAAACATTATAGCAGATGGGTAAAATTGTGGTGTTACTGTAATGTGCCTAATTGTTGTTTGATAAACTATTTTTCCTATAAATTTAAAAAACCCTCTTGTAATGCTGCCATAATGTCCTAACCCTCATGTAGTTTTTTTTGTTTTTTTTTTTTTAACCGTTACATCCGCCTTGGCCGTGCTTTCTGGACTCATCCTTGATACTAGACACACTCTAATGGGAGCATCAGCAAAAACTCTCCTTCACCTTCAGCTAACCAGCATCCTATCTCCCCTGCTATCAGACATGAAC